CCCAAAGGGTCCCCTTTTGTACTATTTTGAGATATCCAATTTTGCTGACAGACTCTGAAATTTTTTTCCAAAGGAACCTTCGGCGCCAAAATATACTAATTTTGATGGGGAGCGTGCGCCAAAAAAACGCAAACTTTTTGGTCAAAATTTTCTAAAAAACCCTAAAAACGCTTTTTTTTTGGCCTGTTTTTTCACAAATTTGCCTGCGGTGCAGAATACTTTGTCAAAATCGAGGTCTTTATAGTGATTTGGGGGAGCTCATAAAATCAATTTGGCCGACCTAAATAAGAGGTCGACAAACTGTTCGAAATTTTTTTGAAAATCCGCCCCTCCCTCGAGAAAATCGTAGAGCCGCTCCTGATTTTTTGCCTGATTTTTTTCTACTATTCGGACTCAAAAGTTAGCGATGAATGAATAAAAGTTTCCTTACGAAAACTGATGCACAAAAAACTCGTTGCTTTCGCAATTTCGCTCAAAAAAGATTAAATATAAGGTTTCGAAAAAGGATTTTTTTTTAATGCAGGCCTATCAATTTCTGTTTTGAAAGAAGACAAAATAACAAAAAGTTAAATATCAAAAGAAAGCTTTTTATTTTTTTTGACCATACATCAGTGATCGTAACCTTTGTGCTGGTCCCACTGTGATATTAATCTAAAGATCAATAGTCAATTAATTTGGTATAGAGATTTTAAGATTTTAATAGGTTTTTTGTTCAAAATTGTTTTCGGGACTCGTTTAGGGTTTGTCTGTTTGTGTTTTAACCGTTTATTTATAAATAAAATTCAGAATAACAACTAATCAAATTTTTCATTAAAATACGTTTTCTTACAAAAAACAACACTCCTTCTAACTGGAGGAAAAGAAAAGCAACCTGTTTTATTACAAAATAAAACCACTGGGTTTAAGAAGCACACTGGAAACAAAAATGACAGTTATCCAAAAAAAACGGTTTTTGTTTTTGAAACGCTTTCTCAACGAAAACAATTCTGCGCACTCCAATGTATCAGTCAAATTTCTGGAGATCATACGAGGCTTAGATTTTTGAATTAGCAGCGCTAATTCTCACAGTCTTAATTTTGTTCAAATTGGTATCGCGATTAACCAAGTATTGCTTCGGTCGTTATCTAAACTGTACAAGAAGAAAAAATATTTTTTGATAAATCTAGAATCTGTGCGCTTCAAAATCTCCATTTTGTCGAGATTTATATCGAGATCTTTTCTAGTTTTTTTAAAATCACATATGTAGTCATAAGCTTCAAGAAGACGTTGATTATATTGGTTCGATGTTTAACAGCGTTTTCACAGCTTGACAAGTTTTTAAAAGCAGTGAATAATTTTTTCGCTTTTACCAAAATGACGCAAATTTGCAATGAATGAAAAATTGACCATTTTAATACGCGGTATTCTATTTTTTAACTGTATACAGTAAATTTACTGACAATCTCGCGATTGTAATGTAAAATGAACAGCCCTGGTCGCTTGATACCTGAAGTTGAATACTATCACGGATCCCGCTACAAGCTAGAAAACCGACTGCTCTCGCCTGACGATGTGCGGGAACTTGGAAACGCTCTCGCCACCAACTCTGTCCGAGCACTTTCACTACAAGGAGTTCAATTAGACGACCAAAGTTTCCGTCGAATTTCCTCTTCAATCGGGGTGTGCAGATCTCTTTGCAATTTGAACTTGAGTGACAATGTTGTGACATCAGCGCCGAGAGTCGAGGCACTTTGCGAGTGTCTGAACATCAACAGAGGACTGACCGCTTTGTTTCTTCAAGGAAACCCTTTAGAATCTCAGCATGTAGCTCTCATTTCAAAAGCTGTCAAACTGCACCCGACAATTAGGACCCTGGATTTGACAAACTGTTCACTTAACGACACGTCGCTTAGATGTTTGACCAGTTTGCTTCCATCAGAGAAAGGTCGAGACGCTCTGGAAGACTTGAGCATCGGAAGCAATCCTGAAGTTACGTCGATTGGGTGGCAACACTTTTCGATGGCCGTCGCGGACAACAGCTGTCTGCGGAGCTTACAGTTATATTTCAACAACATCGGCGACCACGCAGCATGTCTTTTGATGGTGGCCATTTCAGCCTCCAAAAGCATAGTCAATTTGGACCTTGAGAACACCAACATCGGAGATCGGACTGCGGAGACACTTTTGCAGCTGATCACTGATTTTCCAAACCATCTTCGAGATGTAAACTTGGCAGGAAATAACATCTCACGTGATCTGCTGATGAAAATTAAGAACAGAATGTCGATCCATCACGCGTTTCAAGGTGGTTCTCAGCCAGCATTCAATAACAATTCTAGCGCCTCAACCAACTCCGAAGGTCCTTCGGCCCCCTACTACATCCCAAGTCACGGGGTCACAAATAGACCTCAAACTGTTCCGGAGTTAGACGAAGAAGATTCGGATGAGTTTGAAACCCCAAGAGAAAACGCCGACACTGCTCGTGCTCGGGACCTTTTGAGAAACCAGTTGCAACAGCGTAGAGAGGATTCAATGGAGCCAACTCTCCAGGAACTTGACAACAACAGGTCCAACTCTGTTCTAAGTTCAGACTCCAACGTTCCCGAGAAACCTCTAAGTCCACCCTTGACTTCACGCAGAATCGGAACTTCGATTCCCGGGTCTCGTAGATCGAACCCACCGGTGGGACCAAAATCCCCACAACTCCAAATGGCAGACTCAGAGCGCAAAAAGTCACCAAAAAGTCTAGGCGCCACCCCCGATCCAGAGCAAGAGGATGTTTTTGCCGGAATTCCAGACTCTCTTTTCAGAAATAACGAAAGTCCGTTTTCTGATGTTATAATTTCGGATGGAGTGGCAATGTTGGAGAAAGCTCACACAATGCCGAAGTCGCCCGATATACCCGGACCAAACCCAGTCAAGAATCCTGAAAACGTGCCTGGGACTTCAAGTGTAACAGAGGGATCCCGATCTAATCTTGGATCTGCAAAAATCACAGAAATCACGCGAGATGAGTCGCCATTGGAAAAATCGGAATCGAAAGACAGTGAAAACTTTCCAAGCAAAGTTTCTGTTGGAGAAGGAAAGGAAGAAGATGGTGATCTGTTGCTGAGATCCAATAGCACTACTAGAACATACACCAAAAGCCCAGCCGCTGCAGTTGACCAGGAACAATCAAAAATTTCTTCAAGCAAGCCACAATCTCCCACTAATAGCACGTCATCGAAAAAGCCGAGCTCGCAAGGCAGCCAAAAAAAGTCACCGTCGTTGCGCGCCGAGACAATTCCAAGAAAAGACCCTCTTATGCCTCCAGATTCATCACGTCTCCACGTATCAAAAAGTTTATCATTCGAAAAATCGTTAAAAAACAAAAACGCAAAAACAGGGTTGCAGAAATCGTCAACCGAAGTTTCAATAAAAAGAACTGCGATTCCGAAAACAACGGAGTCATTTCAGAAAGAGTCAGTAACCGCACAGAAAGAAAAATCGCTTACAAATGATTCGTTGAAACGCGAAGCATCAGAACTTTCAAACGCGTACCCCACCATGAATTTTGGCGTAAAAACAAGTGATTCAAATGCCAGTTCAAAAGAACCATCTCAGGAGAATATTGATTTTAATGGAAACGATTCGGTTGTGATGGCTACCGGGAGTACCAATTTTGGGGTCAATTCTAAAATGAAAGATCCACGTCTGAACCAGCTGAAAATGGGAAGTCGCAACAACTCGGCCTCTTCAACAATTGCCAGCTCCTATGCTGGAATCCAAGGTGGGGCTGAAAACAGGGGAGCGGCCGGAGGCAGTGGGAACTTTGGAGTTTTGCCGATTCAGGAAGTGGATCTGAGCGACAAAAACCTAGGAGATGTGTTACGTAATAGCCAAGTTCCCGTTTCAAATAGGATGGTGGACCATGGCTTGAACGGGGAGCTGGTGAAGACGCAGCGAGATTTGTCAGAAGAGAGCATCCCCAAAAGTCTGAAGAGCCTACTAAGCAGAAACAACACAGACGAACGATCTGCAAGTGACATAAACACAACTGAAGAGTTCGATGAAAACCCAGGAAACTATTTATATGCCAGTAGAGCCAAATAATTTCAACTCAAGATAACGTTTTTTTTTTAAAAAACTATTTCTCTGCTCTATCTTATGATTTTCAAATGAAGGCGTCCTCTATTCGAGGGTGTATTTTTTTAAATATTGATAAGAAAATACCTTTTTGAATCAAGAGGAAGTATGTTAGGTAGTTAAACGTTTCGCTAGAAAAACTTATTTGCCGCTATCACTTTTAAAGTAACTTAAGATTGTTCTTACCTGTTTAACATACAAATCAATGAAATTTCACTTGTCAATTTTCTTTTCAAGAAATCTTTCAGTCCGAAATATTCTGTCCAGCACAATTTTACTTTTCAAAGTTTTGTTGCTTCATGTTATACCCAAAAAAAATTGAGGTAAATAAACTTTACCTCAAGTCTACCTCAGATTTATTTAGGAGCGGATTTAAAACTTCTCGATGGGGGGAAGATTTTTAAAAAGTTTTAGACCGGTTTTTTCAAAATTTTTTAGGTCGAACATATTGATTGTCCGAACTCCCCCAAATCACACGAAAGACCCTGTTTTTGCCAAATTTTCTGCGCTGCAGCCAAATTTGTGAAAAAAAAGGCCAAAAGAAGCGTTTTTTTTAATGCATTTTGTGGAAAATTTTGGCCAAAAATTGCGTTTTGCGGCTCGTTTTGAATGACCCAACAATTTTTGATGCGGTATTCAGTTTTTTAATTCCTAATGCCATACCATGGGCGGATCTCGGAGTTTTTTTGGAAGGGGGAGCGAGGCGAAGTTTCATGAAGATTTTAACTACCTTTTTTAGGTCGACTAAATTGATTCTCTTGGCTTTTTCAAATCACAATAAAGACACTATTTTAACCATATTTTCTCCACTCCAGGCAAAATTGTGAAAACAAACATACAAAAAAGACCAATTTGAGAACTTCTTGAAAGGTTTTGTGTTTACAGACTTAGCAATTGTTTTTTTTTCCACACGCGATCACTCCTCAAAAAGTATATATTGGCGCCGAAGAAGCCTTTAAAAAGTTTTTAAGGGTCTGTCAGCAAAAAAATATATGTCCTAAAGTAGTACCAAAAGAGGGACCCTTTGAAGGCCAGGGGTTCTTTTTGCTGAGGCAACCGCACACCCCCTAAACAAGATACTGCTTTATACGCTTCAAAGTTATGACGTACTCTTATGTAAAAAGCGATCGTGTTTTGCAAACCATTTTGTATATTACACAATTTTTCGGCTTACCAGACAACTTTTTTTATTTACAAAATGATCGTTTTCCGACATTTTGTTTGAAAAAAATTGATGCTTACACGCTATACTAATGAATTTTTACGACTCCATTGTCCAAAAATTGAAAAAACAGCTTTATCACAATATTTGGCACCAGTTGGAAACCTAAATAAGATCATTTGGTAATGTTTCTACTTCTGAATTTAATAAACGCAAGCTTATACGATTGAACTTTTTTAAATGCTTGGGGTTTTGGCAGAATGTAGTTTTTTCAGGTAAATTTGAATTTTTGAATCAATTTGTAGGGGTGTTGAATCTAATGAGGAAATCAAACGTTTTTCCCCGAAAAACTTACGTTTCTATGCGAGTGTTTTTTTATGATATAACTTTAACAAAACTGGTTTCATCAAGGAAAGTTTTTGACTTCCATTGAATAAAGTTTTGCTATGATTTTTTTTTTCGGAATACGGAGTAGTTATCTTTGAGGTGTTAATGTAATCGGACCATATCAAACTTTTATTCAACCGTTTTCAGCGGATTTTTTTGGAAATCATCTGAAAAAACAAATGCGTGAGCCCAAACTTAAAAAATTATATATTTAGCCTATGAAAACTCTGAAATTTTGGGAACTTGAAGTTCACCTTTTTGATGTAAATGATGAGCAGGAGTTTTCATTCTCTAATAAATTGTAAAAAAAGAAAATTATTCCAGCTCAGATATTCATCTGAATCGAATTGAGGCGCTCTAATTGGTCCTAATAGTGTGTTCGTAGATGCGAAATGTATCACTGTGTACTTTAAATTGGGTGTGGATGAGGAGAATTTACAAAAACACTTAATTTTGAAAAACTCATAAAGCTTAATTTACTTCAGATAACCCAAAGGACCGCCGGAATATTGAAGCCCTTGCAACTTTTGTTTTTATAGCATGTGTTCGATAACCACCTGTTGCATCACCTGCTCAAAATTCGGCTCTGCAACTGGAGTTCTGCAATTCAGACCAATTTTCAAAACGAAATTGGCGGATTGATAGTATGGATCCATTTATCTCTATGTTCACAGAAGGTAGAGCATATCATCTCTACTACGGTACTTCCCGTTGTCGCAGAAACGATTATAACTAAATTGCTCGCCTAATATTTTGATCCCGAGGTGAAACTTTTTAAAACGTTTAGTTGTGTAATTTTTTGTGTGCGTGTTTTGCAGTTCTGCTAGTTCTATTAATTTTGCAGTTCTGTTAGTATATCAATTTAAGCATGTATACCTTTATGTTAGATTTCAAAACAATTAGCAGTTTGTGTTGTTCTAACTTTTGAAATAGAGACGTTTATTTTTGTTCTATTTGTAATTTTTTTGCAAAGTTATTTGCGTACCGAATATTCTGTTCTGCTTTTAAAGTATCTTCTACTTTTTTCCGACTTTCGAATACAGTAAAGTTTATAAATGCGTGGGAAGTTTTTTTTAAGGATTTTTTTGATTTGGGGGCAAGATATTTGGCCGTATGAAGTTGATTTACTACTCAGTTTTTAACGTTTAAAGTTTTATACTATCTTCCCGCAATTAAAATAATAGTTTGCCATTGTTTCTTTTAGCAAAATTTTTTTGAGACCAGACAAAGGGCAAAAGGCAGTCGAAACATTCGAGGCTTTGCCCAGATATAAAAGCAATCTTGCTGATTCGACTGTCGAAAAAAGAGCGGACACATGTGGTCGGGTTAGTTTTTAACGAATACTTGAAATAAAACGGGTTCGACTAGTTAAAAAACAAATTGATTTTCGCTTTTTTTTTAGCATCAATCTTTCATTTTTCTCTTTTCATACTTATCCTTTATGAATTTTTTGTTTTTCCTTGTTTTGTCAAAGTAGAATCTTCTCCGATTGCGCCACTCATCTCAATGAGCGAATAGTTTAAACTCAAAATTTTGTTTCTGAATTCTTTGTTTTTTTTTCTTTTTTTTAATGTTTGATGCTTAATAAACAGCAGTCGGATGATTCAAGGCTTCATCCTCGTACGACTTTTTTCCAGCCAAATTTAGTTTTAAGCAAGACTGCTTGTATATCAGGGCAAACAACCGAATAGTTTTTGGGAAGAGAACATATTGAAAAACTATAAGTTTTGGACAGTATCAAAGATCAAGTAAAAAAGGTGAGTCGTACGAGCTCAAAACAACCCCTTAGCCAAGCCTCTATTCAATGTGGAACAGTTTTAGGGGGCGTGATAATTCGCCACGCATAAGTAATTTGCGTTACTCTTTCTAAAACTTCAAAGCGTGCATAAATTAGTCCTGAGCATGGTCAAGTTGACACTTTTCACACTCCCAGAGCTTTGCAAAAAATGATCAGAGGTAAAATATATGTTTTTACTATTTGATTTCAGGGAATCGATATCTTCAATGGGTATAAAAACTTTTTGTTAAAAAGTTTTATGTTGATTGCTGAAAAGTGACTGAATAAAAACACCACACGAAGCATAAATATTCCATTTTCCTCGAAAGTCGGAACAAAAACAATTTTAAACTAACCGCTAATTTTTATGATTAAACGGCATGTGTCGCGAAGCTCAATTGTTATCAATTCGCACTTAAATCTAAATACATTCAGATGGAGGCAACTAGAATCAAGTTCAGGACGCAGACGTAGTTTTCAGCATATACGTTAATAATTTTTTACGTTCCGAAATTAACTTCGAGATGAATTTACATTCCTTTAAAAGTTATCTGTCTTAGGTATATTGTTGATGTTAAGTTTCTAAATTTCCTTAAAATAGCTGAAAAGGCAAATGATATCTCAATCAAGGAAAAAGTTGAATAATTGAGTTTTTAATTTTCAGATTACCCGTGAAAATACGATAATAATGAAGACAACATTCTCTTTCCGAAAAAGTAATGGAATATATATGCTCGCGTTTTTTCATTTTCTCATTTTCTCAACTTTTTTGTATAACATACTGTTTCTAAACAAGTTACAGAGTTATTTGTATAAATTTACAATGACAAATCTGAATCGTATGCGAGAACACTATTAGACCAATATAGCCAGGTTTCAGGTGTATCAATTTTTCAATCCAAAAGCTGCTTCATACTTGCTGAAGGGCAGACGGAACATTCAACCCTGATTCGAGCAGTAATTTTCTTGGTGAATTTTAACCTTTTTTAAACTTCGTACAACGAGTTGCTGTGCTGACAACGAATGAGTTGTTTGTTCATTAGTCACCTGAGAATCAAGTTTTTGCTCATTTCGCCTTTCAAAACTAAAAATCTGTTAGTTAATTGAAACCGAAAGGCATAAAGGCATATTGCGCATTCCTTAAAGTGACATCTTTCATTCTCTTTTTTATACTTGCTCTCAAAAACAAGCTCAGAAGGTTTGGTGCCATTATTATGGTTTTAGATTTTAAACTAAATAAGAGTAAGTTTCAGACGTTTTTCGCACATGAAAGCGGACATTTTGTTTTATACACTCATTATTTATAGATTTAAAAAGCCTTAAATTGGTATTTCATTATTTATTCAAAAAGTTTTGTTTGGAAAATTTACCTGTATTTGCTACATCTTTTCTTTGATGATTGTGGTTAATCTGATTTGATTTATTCAGGTTTGTTTTTTCATCACTAGCCTATTTGTTACCACTAGTTATTGTACCAATTATTGCATTACAAAAAACGAGCAGCAGTGATTGCACGTTTCATTATGTGTGTCCATCCTTGTCATAATCAGGGTCGCTTTCATTCGGTACAAAAGGGCTTTTAAATGTTACTTAAGCATATTTTGCAATAGCGACACTGAGTCGAATATTCAGCCGGTGTAATATATTCCTCCCGTTGTTTTCGCTTTTGTTCTTTTGTTTTCAGAACAATAAAAAGAATTTGGATCCCGCGGTCACTGTTCTGACCATTTGGTACCATAACTTCTCCTCTAGTTTCCAAACTCGAAACGAGGTCTCCATTGCGAAACATCACTGCAGTTACTTCCAGTTTGTACCTTAAGCAGTTTTCAACAAGATCAAATCAAATCTTCCGATCACTTAATTACATGTTCTAACCAAAAACTTACAATCAGAGGCCC